CTATCAGAGATAGACTATGGTAAGGTCTCCAGCTGTGTTAACTTTCTTCATTACTTTTTTACGCAACAGATAGAGTTGCTTCTCGAACTTGTTTCCTTGAGTGGTATATGCACTGTACACATTTGTTGCACATTTCACAGGGATGTGTGTCTGCCTGCACTATCCGTGTTCACGTTTACGCGATAGAAAACGAGTAAGTCATTTTTAAAACTTGCACAAAAATATCTGCTCTGATTTGCCTTCTTAACTTTTTTTTCTTCTGGCCCCGCATGTTCTACACAGTTTTTGTTGTTGGTTTTTTGTTTGTTTTTTTGTTTAAACCCGCAAGGTGTAGTTCCCGGAGTGTTCCATTTTCACTCTTGTAGCAGACTCTCCTAACACTTGTCAATAAAGAATCGGGGAAAGTAAAAGCGGGACCTCGGGTGAATACCGCGCGGGACAGCGCGGCGGTCGGGAAAATATCACAGGGTGAAGTCACAAAACTCGCCGTCCTGTCAAAGTTTTCCTGTGAATCCAAATAATTTTTTCACAAATAACCTCCTTACTGACTCTTGATACGGCAGATAAAAAAAAGGATAACAATCTGCGTTTCACGAATGGAAAAAAATCCTGATCTTTGTAGCAATCCGAGCAATACGTGCACCACAAGGTAGGGTTAAGTACAGAGGCAGGGTGTGAACACGATTAGAACTAGAACCAAACTTAAGGGTGTGGGTTATTGGGGGAGAGTCTGGGCTTTCATTTGATACCTCACACACCCATAATGAATCATAAATGATAGATAAGAGAGAACATTTACAGGGGTCTAAATAAAGTGAAAATTACAGACTTCTACTCAAAATCGGCTAACCGCGCTATCGCCCAGGACGCGATGCGTGGCTCGACTGTAAGGTGGGATTATGACCCTGGGAGGTCAGCGGACGGGTTAAACTAAGTGCTCCGCAAGGATAGTAGAACTGAACAGCCGTGAATGAGAAAGCTCGGATTCAACGAAGTCGCTTGCAGTGTGAAAAGCCCCCGCTGACGTGGCTTCGGTCAGTTTTCTCCCACAACGAACCCTGTCTGTTTCAGGAAACCATACATGCATCTGGATCGTGAATCTCAAGACTAAAGAATGTTAGTTGTCCGTCTTGAGTAAACTATTATTTGCTTATCTTATTCAGAGATATGGCTCTACTTAGGCAACGATCGTGTATGTACGATCTTTGACTAGGTGCGACCACATGGAGAAAGCCGTTCGCTCACGCTCACGTAATCGCATTGCCCGAGGCAGTGAAATTAAATGAATCCCCAAATGAAAACCGTTGCGTCCCACATAGATAAAGTTGTCATTGAGGACGCGCAAGTCAGGAACGGCACTGACGTTTCTCTCAGAATCCAAACTACGTTCTCACGTTGCGGTTGTACCAAAGCAGTGCTTCTACTTATGCCTACATTTTGATATTCTTCCCCCCCCTCTCTCTCTCTCTCTCTCTCTCTCTCTCTCTCTCTCTCTCTCTCTCTCTCTCTCTCTCTCTCTGACTCTGATATAATTACATATCAATGGTATTACGACTGTGTTCTTGTGGGCCAGTCCCCATATTGAATAAAACACCGAGCCACCCACATGCAAGCACATACAGACAAACAAACGCACACAGACAGACAGACATTAACAAATGTACACACAAACACACCCATAAACAGGGGCGAAGGCTGACTTGTTTGACAGGGTAATCAAAGTGAGATGGGACCAGATAGGGCCTGGAGATATCACACTCACACAAGTCTCAAGTCACAAGAATCTTACTGGCACTGGAGGCGGCAACTCTGAGTTGTGAATGAAAACAAACCCTGAATTCATGTTGTATGCTTATTCAACCGCTAAAATAATCGGGAAAGTATTTCATTAAATATTTATTCTAACTAACCTTAAATTTAACTTAAGATTTGAACACACGAATACCAAGGAAAGAAGCAGAGATGACAGTACTATAATGGCATGTTGTACCAGGCAGCCGAAACACTTTGGTAGAGCATGCCAATTATTAATTTTTTATTTCACATTTGGCTGTTTTTTGTCTAGCTTTTCGCGACCAGGAGCCGGTGTCATAATCGAGGTCACGATCTGATTATAGGACGCTAAAAAGTCGAAGGAAAAAAAAAAAAACAAGCACTCGCAGCAGTCAAGATATTATTAGGAGTTAGTTCCCCTCACATCTGTGAGGTAGACTCGACCAGTGTAATAGTTAGCTTACATAATCAGCGAGTGAGGCTGCTTATACTGTGGCTCGAAAGGGGTGAACAGGGTATATGCGGCAATAAAACAGTTTTGACTGCTATGCATATGTTCCCTTCAACTCTATTGGTAGACTCTTCCAGCCTCTTCCCGCGCGCTCATATGACCTTATGCAGTTGCGAGCGCCGTAAAACCCTATACTAAACAAACAAACAAACAAAGTTTGTGACTGCTTATGGAGTGGCCCGATAGGGGCGAACAGGCTATTTCTGTGGCAATGAAACAGTTTTGAAGGTTAGGCATAGTCTATTGTTCATTGGTGATTATGAACGTCTTTTTACATTTAATTTATGAGGTTTACGTCTATGGGTGAATTTGACTGCGACAATGTTTCAAAATTAGGAAGGGAAGCAGTGATTATTTGATTATATAGACGCTTCGCCTCTGCCCATAACGATAATACGCACATACACAACCATAGGGCCTACTCGTGAGCACATTAGCACATGAAAAAAAAGCGACCGTTGTAATCTCCAAAAACCAAACATCAATGTAAGAAATACATGTGGGGGCTCTCGGAGTCGACAGGTTACGGTGTTTGCCTCTCATTCCATAGGTCCCGTGTCGAATCCGGAGAGCGATGGAAAATGTTCTTTTCTAAAAATTTCTCCTTTCCCCTCTTTTCCTGCTCTCTAACAATGCACAGTCGCCTGCCGTCTCCATTTTCTACCCCCCCCCCCCCCCCCACACACACACACTTTCGCCCCCTGCTCTGGGCTCCTGACTCTTTCTGCAGCTGCTAGTGCTACTTTATTGGCTCCTTCTTACCGCTGTCTTTAAGCCACTTGGTAGGTAAGATCTAACACCTAGCCTGAGCCTCTCGGATAAGGGCGACTCTCGAATCGAGGTCCCGTGTGCAAGTTGGGCACGTTAAAGATCCCTTGATGTTCCAAAATCGGTAAGAGTAGGCTTCGGCAGCCACCCCGACAAAATTAAAAAATTCCCATTAACTGAAAATGTCGTGTCCCGCGCCTTCATATAGATATCTAGATCTAATATGATCTTATATGCAGTTGCGAGCGTCGTAAAAGACTTACACAATAGAAAGAAAGAGAGAAAGAAAGAAGAAATGCATTCTCATAATAATCATTGGTTTCCTTCGTGTTGTAGCCTAATTATTGATGCAGTTAGCAGTCTTGGGGGTGCCAGTTTAGTCGAAGGTCTACCTGCGCAACGTGATTCCCGCCCTAAATTGTTGAAGATCCTTTAGATCAAAGGTGATGAAATTTGCAACGGGGATGTACGTGGGTGGGTGAATTATGAATTATACCTACTTCGTTTTGCGGTATTTTTTTAAGATCGGATAATTTTGCGGTCGCAAAGATTATGATTGAAAAGTTGCGACAAAAAGTGACCTGACAGGACCATTTTCAAGAATCTGGAGGGGAAGGGTGAGCCTAGAGGACCAGTTATCAGACCGGCCCGGCAGAGGAGCATCAAACAATGGGATTGTAACCGTTTGATGGAATCGGCAATCGAATTGTATCGATATTATCAATAAGTGCGGGCTCTGAAAGTCTAAGTGCGCGGCTTTAATAGTTGTTTTTTTTTGTCTTTGGATTTTATTGTTGTTTGTTTGTTGTTGAGTTGTTTTTTTTTTTTCGAAAGCAGGCTACGCGGCTCTGATAGCTTCCCAACTAAATCAGAAATAAAATGGCGGTGAACCGTCAACAAAACCTGCTCCTGCACTGAACTTATGGGAATTCGGATGTCTCATGCTCTTCGCGAGACACGTACGGAACATAATGATTATCAGGTTCCACAGACGAAGAATTAAAAATGTCATTTAAAATCTAGTATTTTAATTTAGGTGATCTTCAATTAGCCGAGTGCGTAGCCTGTTCATCACTTGCTACTGGCAAACCACTTGAAACTATTACGTGTGGCGTATGATGAGACAACAAAAGGCAGTATTGGGGCTTAAATGGAATAATTGACCATAATCTGTGTTTTTAAATTTTGCCCAATCATTGGTCTCGAGAAATGTAAGTGCTGTGGCAATGGGTAAGACCGAAACCTGCAATTATTAGAAAGGTGCCGTTAGGATAGCATTTCAATTGGGAGGGATACTGCTGTAGTTGTCATTATAACTGCTTGTCATTGTCGACCACAAGGGCAAGAAACCCCTTATTCTTATTTATTTAAAAAAACCGAAAATGTTTAAGACGGATTTCCCCCCTGCATGAGATACCTCGCGACGAGATAATCTAAAAGTACAGTTCACCTCTAATAGGTTCCGGGTTCGAAACCTGACAAAGACGGGCATTTCCCCTTTTACCTCCTTTTCTGCTCTCTATAAACCGCATGTTCTGTCATCTGATTTCGTCTCCACGTTCTGCTCTCACCGCCGCCACCTTGATTGCCCCCTGCTCTAAGCACCGTAGGCCTAAACAAATAAAACGAATCCTCGCAATTCCGCTGTTACACAAAAGAGTACATTATTATCAGGTATATACATAATATGGTTTATAATACGTTGTGTGTGTGTGTGTGTGTGTGTGTGTGTGTGTGTGAGTATGTGAGCGTGTGTGCGTGTGTGTGTCGTTGTCGCACGCGCGTATGTGGTGCGTACACAAATAATAGGCCTAATAACGTTCAACTACGGGACCTGAATAAAAAAAAGGGAAGCGACAAGTTTTTATCCGGATTTAGAGCCACTGGTGTACGGTGAAGAAGCCATCACCATTTCGTGACTACAGATGCATTATGGGTTATTTAGTACAGCAGTAACTATTCTTCTTCCCTTCCGCTAGCTGACAAGAACAACACATCGAAAGGAGACGACGGATCTTTGTGTTTACAAGTTTTTTATGCTAAATAAATTTACGTTGAAGTACAACAACCTCTAATATTTGCGTATGGCTGCTGTTACATTGTCCCCAGGGCCATCTGGGTCAGGTAAGAGATGTTGACTCTGTTCTTCTGTACGCGAAATAGTCGAACTGAGCTGCCTTCTCTCGGACTCGGGAGTTCAGTCACAGTTCAGTGTATCCCTTGAATCTTAGACCTGGCAACAATAATGTCGAATGTAGGCCTAGTTTCATCATCGTCTTCTTCCTTAGCCAGTCTTTATGACTATAATAAACAGAATAGATCTAGGTTACTGTCATCATAGTTCGTAGTGTTCATAGCCTCTGTTGTCTTGGGGGTATTATTGGCCTTCCTAAACATAGATTCTAGACTATAATATAATGACTTCAACTTTATAATTTATACTTACAATACATAGATCTATATGGTTATTATAGTCAGGCCCTAAAGAACGACACATCTTGTCAAGACATTCAAGATGTCTAGATTCTAGTCTAGATGTAGATCTAGATCTTGATCTAGATGATCTTGTATTGTATTTTGTTCCCCTTATTATTTTTCAGTTCAAGAAAGCTGTGTGTACTAAGACTAAGAGTGACCTAAAAGTGTGATCCATTTTTACATGCGTTAAACGTAGAAGTAGAAGACGCATCTTTCTGATTGGCTGCTGATTTTAGTAATGTGATGTCATCTGGGATACCCACTGACTATTTTAAGAAGGCCGTGGAGGTACGGCATAGAATGACATGTTTCCGGCCTAATAATGTTAGGCCACCTCTATTCTCACCCCGGGTGAGAATAGCGCAGGCGAGTCTTTTGGCTATTCTCACCCGGTGGGCGTTCACCGTTATAGCCTAGGCCAACCAGTGAAGCGTTCACCCTGAACCACAGATTCTACACTGTGATAACAGAATTGTAGAATTCTGTGCCGTGAACAAACCGTAAAAACGTTCTAGATCTATAACTACTGTTAGTGTATGCTAAATCTTAAAAGCATGCAATTTTGTCTGTGGGCAGTGGAGAGAGAGAAAGAGAGAGAGAGAGGAGTAGCGCGAGAACTTTCGGGCAAAACAAAATGGCGACCCGCGTAGTTCGGCTCGATTCGGAAAAAGTCAAATAGCCGTAGCATCTTTGTAGACGACCAAATTAATTTAGTTTTGTTTTTTAACATCATTTTTTAACTTTGTTTTGGTCAATTTGATCGTCCACACCGATAGACAGTGTTCAGAAAGAGACAGAGAGAGAGAGAGAGAGGGGAGGAGTAGATCTTGCGAGAACTTCCGGGCAAAGCAAAATGGCGACCCGCGTAGTTCGACTCGATTCGAAAAGTGAAATAGCCATAGCATCTTTGAAAACGATCAAGATTAGCTTACTTTTGTGCTATAACGTAATTTTTTCTTGGCTTATATTATTGATTTGATCATCCACACTGATAGACAGTATTCCGGAATGAGGAAAAACAGGTCTTGTTTCACACCGGGTGAGAATAGCCTGCGCTGGCAAGTCTCACCAGGGGTGAGAGGTAGATCGTACTTTTATTCTCACCCCTGGTGAGGATAGCCACTTCCTATTATAATGTTAATAACATTTCAGAATTCCAGTATTGACACCGTACGAATGTCCACAATTGAGACATTGAGGGGTTTGTGCTTCCTAATTTTCCAGTTCACTGCGTCTATTGAATTCATTCTTTGGACGTTTCCTCTAGATCTACCGTATAAGAGACTACTCATCATCGGAGCACCGCATCATATTAGTTTTCCGGTATTCCTGCAAAAACATCACACCAAAGCATCATGCCATCCCGTTGGCTATATTTACATATAGTCACATGATTGGAGGGGTGTTCTGGTCTGACGTCACACATAATGGCCGCCTTACCAAAAATAGTTTGCGTCTTTCTACGTTTAATCGCATGTTCCATTTTTCATTCTCCTGTCATGACAGCCACTTGTACGAACAACAACTTTCTATTACATGAAGCTACAACGAGCACCTAGCACACCTCTGTGATTGCCCAAATATAGATGACGTATTTCCGCCGTCTATTTTTGTAGTCTTCTGGGGCTTCCCTCACCTGTTGACTAGATCTAGGTTTCACTGTGGCAGGCTCGCTTAGCGCGCAATGGGCTAGGTTACTAGGTTTCATCGCCGACTTCTTGGGCTGTGTGTGTGTATGCACACGTGCTTGTGTGTATGTATAAACATGCACGCATGTGCTTGTGTGTGTGTGTGTGTGTGTACAACTTTGAGGAGATGGTAAATTTATGGAACGAGAATTGCTGAGATTTGGATTTACTTGGATCCAGAGCTAGAATCATAGCAGGCGGCGCATGTCCATAGCTGCTCATCTCTCCTTTCCAGCGTCCACATCAGGGTCTTCCTGCTAATTGTCTCCATGAGGAGCTGGTTTGAGACACGCCTGACCACTCCTCGGAGCAAACTTTTTTTCGCTGTGCCCCGCACACACTTTCCTTTTATTGTGCTGAGTGTGTGGGAGTCTGTCTCCTCTTGGTTGAGAAGGGTCTCCTTGCATCTGGCGATCACCATTGGTGGGTCGAGCATGATTCGGCCATTGGGTGTTGCTTTGCCGGCAAGTTCATCAGCACGCTCATTGCTGAGATTGTTTTTTATAAAAGGTAACACAAATTAATTACCCCCCCCCCCCCCCCCCCCAAAACAAACAAAAACAAGGTGAGATAGGGAAACCCAAGAGCCTTGGGGCGAAAACCCTGGAAGATGACAAAAATAGATAGTGGAAATACATCATCTATATTTTTGGGCCAATCACAGAGGTGTGCTAGGTGCTCGCTGTAGCTTCATGTCTTTCTATTCCCCCTTCAGTTCTTTTTTTAGCACACTTGTCACAGAAACACTCAGTGTAAAACGATAATCTGTGTGACTCGGCTGCGGCCACAATATTTGATCAACCAACAACCTAAAAAGTTGTCTTAGATGGCCCCGCAAATTTCTCATCGAACAATGTTTTGTCATTAATGGTATTTATATATATGGCTGTTGATAAGCAGTCATAATTTATTCACCTGTTGTATTGTATTTATTGAACTATTAGACTCTAATTTAAATGAGCCGAATATGTAAGTCCCTCCAATTGCCCATTGTTTATCCAAGGTGACCAGTCGGTAACAAATTTTCAGCTGACTGTCATCCATCATGAACTAAAAGCCCCACCCACCTGACCGTACAAAAATCATAAAAAAGTGAGATGAGCAGTAACTCTGATTTCCCAGTCGTAACAATGGATGCACCATGAACTTGCGACAAAAGCTCACAACTACTACTGAGGCCCATCTTGTTACTTTGTGAACCTCCCTTCCAAACAAAGAAAATAATACAAAAAGAAAAGAAAAAGAAATCTTTAGAAAAAAAATAGACTGGCCATACAAAAGTCGTCCTAAGCTTGCAACCAACTCTAGTACTCCAGTTGGGAATTCAAAGGAGAATGGTAGAAAAACACAAGAACCAGCGCCACCTCTCCCCCTCGATAAATTTCGAGCTATTTAATCTACAACGGTTTTTAATTTGATAGCAAATAATATTTGGCTTTTTTTTTTATTCTGGGAGGGGGGGGGGGGGGGTCATCAGAGATTTTCTTGAAAACTATTGATTTATGGCGGTACTCTTGGCCATAGGGGTGTGTTCTGCAGCCAAAAATATGACTGTCGTGTTTATTACAGTGGAACTCGGATTTAACGAGGTCGCCGGGCCTGACCTAAAATCTCGTTGAATCCGAGGGTTCGTTATAGCGAACACGAGATTTTGTGTAGATAATTACAGGCACTGAGCAAGTAATGTATAAAGAGAAGTCACAAGTAGTGCCTGAAATGCCTACATATAGCTGTGTAAAAAAACCCACACGTCTGTGTCATCTCGATTGTTTACCAAAAAGTTGTGAAGCTGTGTAGAGCCTAGCATACGGCAACTTCTGATTCCATAGACCAGCGCACAATTCATTACGTATATCTACGTCAAGACTAGCTTATCATTGTAATAATGATCAGTTGCTGAGGGAGATAAAGACTTTGACGCGTTTGTATCTGCGACATTCAACGCCCGGACCACTAGCCCCCTCACCTTCTCCCCGACACGCAGACACAGTCACACGTGTGCAGGCCGCCCATCCGACCCCGACACACGCTAGCCTAGATTAGACACGTGCTCGTGCCAACAACGCAGGTGTTGGGATGAAAAAAGGCTGCTGATTGGTCGCATTCAATCGGCTAAGTGAAGAATGGTTCACAATGCAGGTGCAATGGATGGTTTCCGGGAATAGATAAAGTTCGTTCTGGGAGAAAAATGAGCGGGGGCTGTTTACCCTGGAAGCGACCTCGTTGAATCTGAGCTCGCTGATTGAAGTGCTCGCTGAATCCGGGTTATTTTTATTGATTTTAAAGAAGAAAAAAAAACGGGGAATCTATCTCATCTCGTTGAATCCGAGTTCTCGTTGAATCCGAGCTCGTTGAAAACGGGTTCCACTGTACCTCTAAGCAGTGCATCCGCATGCTGAAGTAATTTCTCAAAAAAGTCCCAGCTGGTCACTTTCTGCCACAACTTGCTCGGCAATCATCATTACAACACAACATATATAATGAAGCGATCCACCCACCCACATTGCTTAGTTGTAAATGCCACCACCTTTGATCTAAATACTACCACCTTTGATTTAAATGCCCCCCTACACTGTCGTTACTGTAGCCAATCAGGAGGCACTTGCGCAACCCTAAGATAAAATAAAAGATACATTTTTATTATCCAGATCCTGGCTCAATGGTCTGGTGTTTCACCACGTACACTACACACGTACGGGCACACACACACACACATACACGCGCGTGCACACACACACACACAAACAAATATGCACACACACACAGGCTTACAGTCATTTGCATATATATATATAAATTAACAGTAATATAAACAACAATAATCTTAAGCTAGATACATACTCGGTATTCTGACTGTCACAAAATGTTATTCTGATGCATGCTCTAATATCTCATGAATAATTGTAACAAGATGGTTAAGATGAAAGAATTTTGATGGATGCAAGGTAAAAATGACCTTCTGTAACTTTTTTTTGTTAGATCAGAAGCCTAGGTCTTTTACCTCTGACTGATGTTTTTATTTGAGGGAACAAGGGGTGTTTATTGTTCAAAAAGATGGAATCAATTTTTTTTTAGTGCAAGCTGTAATGTACAATTCATCTGGTTAATTTTACATCAACAATATGTGAGAAAACGAGGTTTCACTATAGCTCTGTTACGGTATGAATACTTGTATACGTATTATCACTGTAGACCGTGGTCAATCGGGCAGGACTTTATGCTTGGTAGACTGCCATTGGATGGTAGGTCTTCAATTGAACTGACTTCCAATTGTTTTTTGTGAGAGGTGAATAAGGGTGTAAGAAAAACTATGACACACTCTTGAAACTCCAAATTCTCCTTTAAAAAAAACAACTGAACTTATGGTGTGGAAGAATGATGCTATGCATGTACAGTTGAAATTGTCATAGAGACGGCTACCCATTGTCGAGGAGAAAAATGGTTGTCTTAGACAAGTGTATGTCTTGGAGTATCATAACAGTATTTAAATAAAGCAATGGGAGAAGTGGGAGATGGTTGTTTGGACAGATGGCTGTTGGAGCAGGTTTGACTTTGTTACATATTTATGTCTTTTTTGTAGTTTAACGGATCATGACATATTGTGTGCTTAAAGAAGCTTATGTTCATTCATAACGTTACAGAGCTATAATAAAACCTAATTTTCTCTCATAATGTTGATGTCATACAAACTGGGTAAACTAGTTCCATGGTGAAAAGGTTTCCCTTCTTTTCCTTGTTTTATGTCTGATTTATACTGACTTAACAGTCCCTACAATTATTATAAATTATTGCCTAAAAAGTGGTAATGCAAACAGGGTTTTGTTGGGATCATTTCAGGCTATTTTATTTGGAGGTCACACTTTTCCTCTTGAGCCTGAATAGATATATTTCAGAATTCAAAAATATGGTGTATACTGTTTCTGATCAGTTGCTCAATTCTCAAGGCCTTTTTTCTATAGAGAATGCATGTCATATGAACGAGATTAAATTGCTTACTGCAGGCTTTTTTCTAGTGCTTTTTTCTTTGTAGCAAAACCGGTTTACCATGCTGCTCTTTGTGATACATTAGGTAGGAAGTAATTCGATGTCTGTTGATGAGGTCTGTTCCCTGGGTTTCAGATCCCTGAAGATCTCTTTTGGGGGATCTGACAGGTTGATGTTTTAAATTCTGTTGTCTTGTTTTCTTGAGTTTTTAACAGTTGAATGAATTACTCACCTAGGCCTATGGATAACTATTATTAGATTGACTGTTACTGAGTATTCACACCTGAAAGAGATCTCATTTTGCCCTTGCTATAATGGCTGAAAAAGTATTTATTTAGCTGTATTTATTATTTCTAATGAAGCTGCACTGATTTAGAGATAAGAAGTTTGTAAGGTCCACGTGACTACTCCTTTGAGCTTAAATAGGGCCAAAGTTTCCAGAGAAGGCCAGCTTTATATAATCTGAACATTAGAAGAAAAAAAAAATTTCACCTCTCTACTTTATATGATAGCAGCTGTTACTTTTGATCTAGATGTATATGGATTCTAGTAATAAACAATATCTCTGAAAATGTAGCATCTTGGATTTTGACTGATTGACTTGAACTGTAACATTCATCACATAAATGACAGGTTGGTACTAACAGTGTAAATTGAAAAGAAAAAAAGAGAGAATTTGTTTTGATTTGACAGTATGCTGATCTGATAGCGAGAAGTTTGGAAAGTAAGCCAAAGAATTTGACTTATTTGAATTAGTTTGAGAATATCTAGGTTAAAGTTTGCAAAGGGACACAGACTTTTTTAAAGCCATCAAATGAGCAATGTTTAGAGGCAAAAACATCTATTAATATCAGAAAGTCTCAGTCTCTTGGCCTGGAGTGAATTTGTGAAAAGCCAGAAAAATTATCACATTTTTTAAATACTCTAGTCAAGGTTTCGTGGCTTTGATATGTTTGGTACAACATATTTTTTGTGAAATGATACACATAATGATATGAGCTTTAGCAGAAACTCTTAATAGATATATATGGTTTGTTGGTATATTTTTAGCAAAGCTAGGTTCAGAGATAAAGAAGATTGAACTAAGTCATTTTTCAATACTTTTGTAGTCTCTGACTTGAACTATATTATTATACAGTATATATATTACCTTGGCCAATATTGTCTAAACATAATATCATTTTAATGATGATCGCAGAAGCATGAAGAATATCAAATTGTACTGATAGTGAAAATGGATATTGCAGGAACCTCGCTAGTGCTTCTAGTAGACTTTATCTGGTGATTTGAAACAGAAGGAAACAGTGCAAGAAGAAGTCATCATTAGATAGGTTATAGTTACATTGAGCTACTCTATTCAATTATAAGTAACCAGGTACTATTTAAAGTCAACCCAGAATGTGATTCATTCTTCCATGAATATTATTACCACCTCTCCCCTACTGATCACAGCTCTGGTGAGTTTTTAGCCTTTCTATATTTTTATTTTTTTGTTTTCAGATGGCAAACAACGTAAGAGGAAAAATGGACAAGAGTAAGTATATACATTTTCTAATGACACTTCAGGTAGCACTTTCATTGGGAGTAAGATAAATACTAAATTGGATAAACAATATATTGCCTTTATTGTTGCTTTGTTTTGTGAATTTAATTTTGCTGATTAACTTAATCCTCAAGGTGGTCTGTCTGTCATCATAATATCTTAATGAAAGAATCATGTTCTTTACCAAGCTGCTGGTAATTTTTTCTCAAATATCAGTCCTGCTTGAGCAATGGAGTATAATGCTGAAGTTTAAAAGATATTATTATGTTGTACTTTTAAAGGACAGTGGGAGATTTTTCTCAGATTTTCAGGTGTTCCTATGTTTTCAGCAATGTTACTAGACTGGTTTTATTTACTCATTTCATGTTAAATGTACAGCTCATTTGTATTGTATATGAATAGTTTGTCTCTTGTTTCAAATGTTGAAATTTCTTCTTCAGAGCAAATTGAAAAGTACCCTACAATGTATGTTTTCACTTTACATAGTATATTTTGTCTCTTACTTTCTTTGTCCAGCCCTTCTATTAGGTTGTGTGGAGTGCTACTATGAAATCATTTTTTTAGTCTAGTTTCAGAGTAAGAATTTTACAAGCGCTTGCAATACAATCAGGTCATATAATATAAGTGCCGAAGATTAGAGATGTAACATACAAACAAAAGAAGAAGGAAAAAATAAGAACAATAGATGTCTGATGGATAGAAGGAGCAGACCACACCAGAGCACCCGTCAACCACCCACAGATCACATGCTTTCACTCCTGGATGCCATTAGAATGTCCTTATCAAAGTTACCTGCATTATCAAATGGCCCGAAGAAAAGTATCTGAAGTCTATCTTATATTGTTTTCAAATGTATTATTAAATATAGTATGTCTTAACAAAAATCTTGCAAGCTTTATTTGGTCACATTCTGTGTCTTTCTTCCAGATCAGATGATGAGGACAGTCAAGGAGGATCGTATGGAAATGGACCAGAAAGTGCTGATAAAGAACGTTTTGCTAGGTCTGTTAATCAAGCTTAATGTTTATGTGAGAATTTTAGTAAGAAGGGAGCTTTTGTCCATTTGTCATTACCATTTCTTGTTTAAAATTCTTAACGAACCTTTTTATTACCCAGTCATTTCTTTCCCACATATTTTTAATGCCTTTCCGTTAAAGATGTGCTCTTAGATAGGCTGTGAACTTTTGTGCTTTACATCGTAAAAACAGGATAGTTTTGACGTTTCATCCCTTTAGTTTTGCCTTGGATGATAACCAGTACTAAAGGGGGTGTTGAAAAGTTTCTTTTGCTGTTGTTATGATTGCTAACTTTGTTTTTGTGTGGTATTCAGTCATAATTCCATTTGTACTGGAGCCATTAAAGTGTAAATAATAGCAAACAAAAGTGACCTTTTAATTTGGGTTCCTTTAAAATGGAAAGGTTTTGTCATCTTTTTTTTAAAATAGGGAAAGCCATTGTGAAATTGAGCGCAGGCGGAGGAACAAGATGACAGCTTACATTAATGAGCTCTGCGATATGGTCCCCACCTGCAGCACTCTGGCCAGAAAGCCAGATAAGCTCACCATTTTACGCATGGCAGTTTCCCACATGAAGACACTGCGAGGTATGTGGTATTTAGAGGAACTAGCTACATTATTTCTTCATAAACTTTTTTGTGGGGGTGTGTGGCTGGTCTTGCATTTTGTTTACCATGGAAACATTGCCACTCTTAATTGCAATTTGAAATAAAAAATATCACAGGCGTATTGTTAATCCCTACCAAGAAACAATTGTTCAGGTTGCTGGTTTTGTAAAGTTAGGTGTAAAACATAGCACTCATTTTTTTTTTTAAAGATAGTTTTTTCCCCCCTGCTCAGGTCCTAATCATTGGTTCTCATTTTGTTCTCCTTAGTAACAGAATGTGAAAGCAGATGTTATGCAACTTTTTGTTTTTGTCAGATAGCAATCTATTTTAAAAAATGAATATATTATCAAATCGCCTTCACAAATGTCATACTGATTTGATAGTGTATTCAGATTATTAAATAAAACCTTCACACTGCTGCATTAGTGAGTGGAGTGAAAGAATGACAAGAAAAGGGGCCAGCTTTTGTCAGAAAATCACTAATGTTCGATTTTTGTGTGCAAGTAATTTTTACACTCTTTGTCCATGACTGCAAAAAGCACAGAAATTTCTTCCTCGCCAAAAAATATTCTTTTACAATATTTTAACGTATGTATTATATTTTATAATATTGTTCTATTAATAATAGTGTTGTAGTTATAAATGTTTTTATTAGCTACAAAAACAGTCTCAGTACATGACCAGTCAATCATTAAGTATGCACATTTTTTATCACTAAAAGGGGCATGTTTGTAAGTTTAAAAAATTCAGACTCTAAAATGCTTGTATTTAGGTGTACTGTGAATACACTTTTGTAAATATTAAAGATTGTCTGACAGTGCTACTTTATGTCAACGGGAACAGGGAATTGTAAATATTAAAGATTGTCTGACAGTGCTACTTTATGTCAACAGGAACAGGGAATTGTAAATATTAAAGATTGTATGACAGTGCTACTTTATGTCAACAGGAACAGGGAATTGTAAATATTAAAGATTGTCTGACAGTGCTACTTTATGTCAACAGGAACAGGGAACACCAACAGTGATGGGTCATACAGGCCATCCTTCCTGACAGATCAGGAATTGAAACATCTTATCCTAGAGGTAAGGTGAATAAAAGATGTTATGAAAAGGGACAAAAAACTGATCTTCTCTTGATAGTTTAGTTTAAAACCTGTATGTTTAGTCAGTTTTTGACTTTTATCTGTGCTTTAAATCTTCATTGTATTTGAGCTGAAGACAAGTATGAGTAAGTCTGAGTTAAATCAGTAATCAGATTTGGCAATTGTAAAAAAATTAATTGTTAGTGTAAAGTAGTAGACAAGACAGTGTAAAATTCAGCTTATCAAACCCTGACTGGTAATGGAAATTGTGTGAAAACAAGTACATTTTTATTTACTAGAAAAACTCCTTAGAACAATTTAAAGATAGCTTCACCATTTCTTGCCATAGATGGCATTGAGATAATCATGAAACATTAGAGAGTTGCTGTAAATTTTTGATTTTTTGAAGTGCCAAAATAAGAAACCCTTCTAGAACCAAATAAATAAATAGTTGTGGCAGCCTTAATACGTTCGGTGGAGGAAAATTTGGGTTCTGGCTTCAGTAGATATTAGAATAATCCAATTTGTTGTTGGAAGTGGAAGCACTTTTTATGCCTCTGTCTCATTGAATTGAGAGAAAATGTTGTTTTTTTTTAGCTATGCTCTGCCCTTTCTTTATATTGACTTATTTGTTTGTTTCTGCAGGCAGCTGATGGGTTTTTATTTGTTGTTCAGTGTGACACTGGACGTGTTGTCTATGTGTCAGACTCTATCACCCCTGTGCTGAATCAAAGTCAGGTGGGTGTTTTGTGCTATGCTACTCCTGGTTTTTTTAAAAAGCTTTCTTTGATCCACCCCCCAGGGCGGTGTTACTGACAGAAGTGTCTTTAGGCTATTCCCAAAGGGGGACATTAACCATGTTCTTATGCACAGTAGAATTGTTATTGTAAATGGGCTGATTCATCAATGTCATGCTCATAACTGTGCCTGAACTGCAACACGGAACTGCTGTTTTTTCTTTCCTCATCTTTACTATCGTCATTTTCCTCTACTTCTTTTGTATGTTTGTCACACTCTTGTGACCCACTATTTCCGGGGTGCCTTGATAATTGAAGCAGACTTTGTGCTGTTGAAGCTAGAGATGTGAGCAGAGTAAGTATGGGCTTCTCTTTTGACATCCACCCCTTGGTGCTCATATGACCTTATGCAGTTGCGAGCGCCGTAAAACCTCTACTAAAACAAAACAAAATTTCTCTGATCTCATTAATCTGGCAGAGAATCAAATGACACTTTGTTATTCTTAAGTATTTCTTTGTGGAATGAATTCTTATGCAAAAGTTGTAGTGGACTTGTTTAGATGTTTTAGAATTTTTTCTCTGTTGTTGTAATGTTTGCTTGAAAAGGTAAATAAAGACAAACCTTTTAATTTTAAGTATATCTCTAAAAAATCCATTTCCACAAATGCTCAAAACTTATTGGTTGATAAGGCCTTGTCATGCAGCAACAGCTTTGTGAACTTTTCTCTTGGTGTTTACACTTTATACTGAATCCAGGTTTAGTCCTGTCATTGAATGTCTTCTGTTGTGAAAGGGCACTGTTGTCAAATTATTTATTCCTTCTGTTACATGTAACATGAACTTTTCAATTTGTTTATGAGATTGGAGAGTTGAGGGCTTGCATCTTGCAAGTATTACGGAAAAATATTGGCATTGCACTGTTTCTCTGAGAGTTTTTTTTTTTCTTCGTATTGATAGCAAACCTGACTTTGTCAATCTTTTACTAGTTGCACATGATCTCAAAGTTAAAAAGAAAAATGTTTTGCGTGTGGGTGGTTGGGAGATGCCATTGGTAGGTCCTACTTACTTCTGTTCTTCCCCTCTATTGTACCTGTCTGTCTGTCCGTCTTGCTCCCCCCCCCCCCTTAATTACCATTGTTCTTTCGATGTGCTGTCTTTTACTCTAACCCCCCCCCCCCCCACCTGAAAAGACCTTTATTGTGTCAATGTGTTTTGCTTGCTTCACAACAAACATGACAATGTGCCTTTTTCGCTGTTCTGGAAATATTACGTTGACAACAGGGGCTATGCTTTTTCTGCAGGCTGATTTGTTTGGTACCACTTTGTATGACCTGACTCACCCAGATGATGTTGAAAAAGTTAGAGAACAGCTGTCCACGAGCGAGTCTCAGAACACAGGCAGAATACTCGACTTAAAAAGTGAGTGTCTTTAAAGGTTTATTATTATTATTGACAAGATGCTATCATTATTATTGTGTAATTAAATCAGACTTGTTATTGTCTTACATATACTCTTTTGGGATTGGGGGGGGGGGGGGGGGGTTGGATGTGATATCTTTTGTTTTTAAGTAAAATTCAACTTCAGCTATAGTTCTTGGCTGAAGAAATATTTTTAAGGGTCTAGAAGTATGTATTAAACTTACTTTAAGTAATATGAGTGTCAATAGATAATCACAGTTATTATTTTCTTGTACATTATTCATTCTTTATCTTACTTTATTAATGAAAGATGCCTTCCTCACTTGAAATCGGAGACTTTTGTCTGTTACAACACAGTTACCGTTAGTTATTTTTCAGGCTCGTTTGTGTATGAGTGAGGTTTTCCTCATGACATGTTTTCTTAACTCAGGTTTCATGCCTTCTCTTTACTTGTTTTTTTCCAGCTGGTACAGTCAAGAAAGAAGGACATCAGTGTGAGTTGCCTGTTCTATGCATTAGGGGGGACTCTCGTGGTCTAGAGGTTACGGTGTTCACCTCTCATTCAATAGGTCCTGGGTTCAAAACGTAAAATTTTCACCTTTCACCTCCTTTCCTGCTCTGTTCATGTTTTGTCATCTGCTTTTGTCTCTACTTGCCAGGCTAGTATTAAAGCAATCAAAACACCATCATGTGACTCCCCTACTTAAAGAGCTCCATTGACTTCCATTGAAAGCGAGAATTGAATATAAGTTAGCCCTACTATGCTTCAAAGGTCAAACTAACCAGTCTCCCATATACATTCAAGAACTCATAGTACCATACACACCATCACATGAACTAAGATCCAATGGCTCTAGACTAATTTCAACACCTCGTGTGTCACTGAAGAAATATGGTGAGAGAGCTTTTTCTTTTTCTGGGCCAACAGTTTGGAACACTCTCCCTCATGATTTGAGGAGCGAAATAAAACTTGGTACCTTCTAAAGGGGACTCAAAACACATCTATTTAAGAAATATTTTAATTAATGGACAGTACCTTTGCCTTTTTGTATGAGCATTTTTTATTGTCTGAAAGAATGTTGCTGTCAAAAAGTGTGCACATGATGAATTTGTATGGTGTTAGTATGAATGCGTTTTTAATCTCCTGTGTACGCCTTGGGCCCATGCTGTGGGGAAAGGCGGGATACAAATGCTCTTATTATTATTATTATTATTACTTTCTGCCCCCCCCCCCCCCCTCTCTCTTTTGCCCCCCTCCTCTGGGCTTCTGACTCTTTCTGCTGCCTTTCTACTGCTACTCCTTGGCTCTTTCTTACTGCTGTCTTTCAGCCACATCCGTGGTCTTATGGTAGGTAAGATCTACCCCTAGCCTTCTTGGATAAGGGCGAAAAATATCGGCGGTCCTGTGTGCAAGTTGCGCACATGTAAGATCTCTTGGTGGTCCAAAATCGATAGGAGTAGGCTTTGGCTGCCACCCAGGCAAAATTCAAAATTTATTCCTACCAAACTGAAGATGCTTCATGTGTCCTGGACGCTCATATGATCTTATACAGTTGCGAGTGATGTAAAACACTTACCAAAAGAATCTTAATAAATTCTTTTTACTGTTTTCAAAGATCTTGTGTTAAGAAAATAAAATCTGCCCTTATTCAGTGTTTGGGAATTTGGGTTAAGTTCTTTCACTGCCTTACGCTACTCTGTCCCATGTTGTTGTGTGAATAATGTAGTGGGCTTTACAGTGGAAAGGTTGGGGAAAATGCTAGTAGCTGTGGTCAGTAGGGTGATTCAGTTTACCTTCGGATGCAATAGCGCTAGATTGATGAAAGGCACTTTGCTCTGGTAAGAACTTGATCACTTTATAGGCTATTAGTTTACAGCTTTTGTTAGAATGTGATGTGTCTTGTGAAGTCAAAGAAGACAACAATGTTTGGAGTTATAATAATAATAATTATAATTATAATGATTATAATAGTTATAATAAATAGCATTTGTATAACTCATACCTCTTATCGACAGCATGCTGTAGGCACTTTACAATATAATATTGTTGGGTTGGGGGATGATGTCCATTTTGACCTCCGATTGAAGATGTCTTATAGCTAGATCTGGTTTTGCTCTTTTGCCAGCCTCAATCCGCTTGTGCATGGGATCCAGACGAGGTTTTATATGCAGACTGAGAATGGGCAGTGTCCAGCCAGACCCAATGACAGCGAATCACACAGTGCGCATGAGGCAGAGAAACATTTTGGGACCGGCATCTGATGGCAACCACTACGCTGTGGTGCATGTCACAGGCTACATAAAGAATTGGCCACCTTCGGGTTAGTACTGATCGACTTTGAAGTCGTGAAGTGTTTAGTTAAAATTACTTGAAAAAAAAAGTTTCATGAACAATGAATCTTTTGTGTAATTCAAGTTTTTTTTATCATAAAATTTTTTAAAATACAAGTTTTACGAGTTGTAAATAGGTCCTTTGGTTGTGGGACTTTTTGGCTCCCTGGTAATAGTAAAAAAGAAATGGGGGGGGAAAAAACCAGGTAAATGCGCTGAATAATAATTTCATAGGAGCATTTGAGCATAGATGAATGTGATTATACATGTTTTACACTAGGGTTTACACATCCTGTTATTATGCAGTGGGTCTCCTTTTCTCATAGGGGTCGTTTTGACCCTTTGATTCTGTTATAATTTCAGTGTAAGGATCAAGCCTCGGGGGAACTTTTTTAACTTGTACTGTTCTATTGTTCTTCTTTTAACACCAGAGTCTATTTCTTGTACTTGCCAAATCGGTACTGAAAAAGACCGGTCCAAATGATACTCCCCCCACCCCCTTTGTTTTATGGATCCACTACTACTTTCGTAAATTTTAATAAAATTTAGTCTTTTGGGTGGTTACAGTGTCGCCATGAAGGATTGCATTTTGGAAAAAATACATCTTCAGTTTTTTATTCAAGGCTTTTGTGTTGCATTTTTCACACTTTGAGATGTATCAGATTATTAATTCAATTGCAGTTTTTGAGTGTAACAAGTACCTTCCTTTTTTTCTTTTTGAAAAGTTGAACATATTCTCTCAAATGTTCACTTGCGGGAAATCTTATAGTTGCTCCCTTGTCTCTTAACTTTCAAAGCGGGCGTGCAAATTGACCGTGATTCTGACGAGCATGGAGGCAGCCATTGCTGCTTGGTGGCAATTGGCCGTCTACAGGTGACCAACACCCCAAACTGTACTGACATCATGGGACCGACACCCCCGACAGAGTTTATTTCCAGACACAGCATGGATGGAAAATTTACTTTTGTTGATCAGAGGTGAGCTGCAATTGTCAAATCAGTTGTCTTTCTGTATGGCGTACATGCCGTCCCTACATCATTTTTGTCAGGACTTTTTCAGATTCCGGTAGAGATTACATCATTGGGAAATTTTTCTCGATGTCATTGTTAGAACAAGGGAAAGTGACATTTTCCCTGTTTCTATTCCTTGTTGACCAGCTGTTTCAATGGTATTGGAAAAAAAAAAGTCAGCCTGACTGTTTTAATCTCTTACATTGAAGAAACTTGCAGCATGTTTCAACAAATTTATTGAACATTCCAAAGTACAAGGAAAACATATTTTGTTTCATTTTGGTAATTATCTGAAGCTATCAGTTTGGAGAAAGTTTTACGATGCTCACAACTGCGTAAGGTCATATGAGCGCAGAAGCTTTGAAAAAATGTGGATGGGGGGGTGCTCTGGTATGGTTTGCTTCTTCTTTCGTATCAAAGGTCTATAGTCTTTATCTCCCCTCCTTTTTTGTATTTGTTACTCTCTTGTAACACCTGCAATCTTCGGTCCTTATATGACCGTATTATGTTGCAAGTGCCGCAAAACACTTACTAAAAAAAATGTGCAGAAAGTGGTAAAAAGTATTAGTTGTTTGTTCCTGACTTATACAGAGAAATGAGTTACAAATCAAGACGGTGTGACCGATCCATGAAATTCTAACTCAAAGTACCTAGTGAAATGTCCTGGATGCTTTTAAAGTTCTGGGATTTCAGGAGTCTGTCGTCAAATGTTCTGTCAGCAGGCCATCTTTGTCACCTCCTCCTGCCTGATCTACTGCTTTTTGTTGTTTATAACTAAATCCTGTCTGTTTGGCCATTTTGCCTTTTTGCCAGCACTAAATGACAAGTAGTGAGGCAATGTGCCCAATAATCACCAAATTCCTCTTCAAGCTGAAGTTCCCTTTCCTTCACTGGAAAAACTTCATGCCTGCCTGTGTTTCACGGTTTGTTATATAACTAATGTACTACTGTCTTGGCCACAAGGTCTGTCTATCAACTGTCAGCATCTGAACTTGCGCTCAGATCAGCTGGTCTCTTTGTAACAGTAGACTGTTTGATCTTGCCTTTAACTTTCAGACTCACCCTTTGAGTCATTTCTCATTTGTGACATTGATTTGTTTTTAAAAATCAATGTTTGAAAAGTGATTCATCCTGTTTCGAATTGTTTGGTTTCATTGTTGGCACCATTGGTTGAAATTTCTAATTGCAAGATTTTGCTGCTTGCAGTGTGAAATGAACAGGAGAAAAAAATATCATAAAATATATGTTTCTCCTTTCAGAGTGACACCTGTTCTTGGGCACCAGCCTCAAGAGTTACTTGGTAAAATTGCCTTTGATTTCTACCACCCGGAAGACCAAACACATATGAAAGAGACTTTTGAACAGGGTAAGTGTTGCTGTTCTTTTTAATGATTTTAGCAGGGCCTTTTGTCCCATGGTGTTTTGGATTGGGACGTTCCTCAATTTTTGGGCATGTGGAGTTATTAGTATTATCTGAAAATGGGTCCATTTGACTTGCTTTCAGTGATAAAAAACCTCACCCTTCTGGAATAATAGTTGAGATATTTGCAATTGAACGAGGTGGGAGTCGCCTGGTTTCAGGGGTAAAATTAGCAAGAAAATGTCGCTGAAGTTTGGTGATCTCTATAGCTCGAGTCTTTGGAAACTCAAAATGTACATTTGTACACAATGTTACAACATAACATGTACAGTATTTTGGGTTTTTTCATATCATCCCCAAGAAGGCTAGTCTTCAAGTTTCTATTGTGATTACTCTCCCTACTGTTCAGACAGCATCACATACATTTTTTACCCAGAGTCATTTATAAAAGCAGAAACTGATGTTACCTCACTTTTATCCCTAGACCCTGTCTATGGATCTGAGGGTTAATCCCTTAATCCCGTGACTGAGATATCTCGGTCAGCTTGCGGGCTGCGTTCAATCCCATGACCGTGATAACTCAGTTCTATAGTTTTGTTCTGTATGCTAGATATTTCGTTTGAGAAAACGACCTCAAGTTTTATATAAGGTAAATTTATTATTTCACTGTCATTACACATGAAGAAATCGTGGTTTTTGTAAAGGCACTTTCAGCGCTTTCGTTCTCACTGATCAGCTGAGCATGTCTTGCAATTGATTCTCTCTGCTTTTCTCACACATACATGTTTTTTAAATTCATGAAAGTATTCAACAGTATTATACATGACATACAATATATAGATCTGGACACTCACAAGCATATTTGAATATCAATGTAGGCTTGCTTTTGCTTATTCAGCCTTTAAAAAAATTATATGCCCCTAAAAATGCCAAATTTGCACAACACCCCAAAGCAAAACTAGGAAAGCTATATATACTTCAAATTTGGTGTGTCCAAAGATCCATCTTAGGTTGTACTTTGTGCCAAATTTCAAAGCAATTGAATTATATCTATGGTTACTAGTGGACCCTTACATAAGTGCCAAAATGACGTTTCTGGGTACAATTTCGGGGAAAACTCCCTTGATTGAGTGAGTGAAGTAATGCTTTCTGTGCTAAAAATGGCAGCTGACTGTTAATTTGGGTCATGTCTCTGTTCTCTTGCCTGAAAAAAGTATTTTGTAATAAATTAAATGATGCAGACCTCATCTTAAAGAAGCCAATGTCTGTGTGATTTATTTCTTGTGTTTGCATCATGCGGATTGTGTTGTGGATGGTTTTTCTGTCTCAAGACTAGTGAAAGTGGTTTTCAGATTTGGCTTGCCATTCATCCTTTTTTCCCTCTAGTTTATGTCACATATTGGTGTGAGTTTGGAATGATTGAGTGAAGTTTGGTCTCTACAGTTATTATCTATATTTCCTGTTTTCAGTCAGAATAGGTAAATGAACATTTCTGTGGATTTTAAGGTTTTATCATTTTGTTTTCTCTTTTTCAGTGCTGAAGTTGAAGGGTCAAGTGATGTCCATTATGTATCGTTTCCGTGCCTCCAATGGGGATTGGGTGTGGTTACGCACCAGTAGCTTCAGTTTCCAGAATCCGTACACTGATGAAGTGGAATACATTGTCTGTACAAACACTTTGGTCAAGTAAGTTGGTCCTCAGTTTGTATTTTGAATTATATGTCATTTTGTTGTGGTTTGAATTTAGGAAAATGGCAATTTTTTAGGGAGATTATTTTTCTCAGAGCTGTAGCGACAGATTTTTAGCATATTTTGAATAAATAATTTTAAAAACATGCTCAGTCCTCACTTATAGACTTTGCTGGTTTTATTTTCCCAAATCAGTTGCATTCATTGTTTGAATTTGCATTGCATCAGTACCCTCAAGGTTGATATAAAACTTGGGTTTTGTTTTTGTTGTTTTTTTGGAACAGAAGCTCACAGGGCCAAGTCACTCCCATTCACAATCAAGCTGAGCAGGCTTCTGATGGTGGAATGCCTTCTATATCGTCGTACCCCGGTGGCTCCCGATCTTTGCAGGCTGATCCTATGGGACTGGGTATGTCCTCTCATGTGTAGAAAATGTATTGATTATCTCCTATCTCCTCAGTGAGTGCTGTCTTGGTCCACACAACTGTCTCGGGAAAACTCACAACAGCAGGACACATTCCCCCCCCCCCCCCACCCCCCGCTTGCTGTGTTCTTCATTTTACTCTTGCCTGTGAGCATGTGGTCAGGGAAAGCTATGGCTAGGTCTGGTTTGCAGAAATAAGATGTGTAAATATAAATCCAGCTATTTGCTGAAAATGGGATAGACCCATTCAGAAAAAAATGTGAAGAATTTTCCATCAGGCTAGACGCCTTAGATCTCAAGGTGTATTTACAAAAACAGCAATCACTGTGACAAATATTGACCAAAATAGATGGTTAACCCATAACTATTGCAAATTGAACAAACAACCTGAACAAAAAACATGTGAATGTACAATGTGTTTAGAATGAATTATGAGAAGTGAAAGTGAGAATTATGACTCAAAATCTCTCACTTTGGAGAGTCTTCTTTCTGACGTTTTTCAGGCGTATGCGCCACTTTGTAGAATTCTTTTGACACAGTGGCTCCCCTATCAAAAAGAAATATGCTAAAGTACGACATGCACTGATCTTTTGGTGTCCTTTGTGCCTCAGGTGCAGCAGCAGGAGCCAGCAAGCCGGGCGAGTATACTGCGGAGATGTACCACATGAGCCAGCGCCCAGCCATGCAGTCCGAGGTCTACTCTGGCTACCAGTCGGGGGCTGGCATCAAGTACCCGGTCCACGCTGCTGGCACGCCTCCCCAAGCCATGAGCTCGCTGGGCATGCGGCGAAGCCCTGCACAGAATACAGCTGCTGGTGGCTGGACCCACCAGGGCACCTTCGCTCGGGCTGATGTGAGTTTGAGGAGGGAGGGGGGGGGGGGGGAATTTTTTTTGGGTGGTCTTACTTCTGTCTTTAAGATTTTAATTATATTTGATGGGATTGCAATAAACATATTTACTCACAGAAGTGTTTGCTGCTTTTAGGATTGTCAAAAAATGAATAATCATTACCACCTGGGACTAAAGTTTAACAGGTCAGTAAAAGAAGCAATGAAATGTACTGCTCAAATTTTTATTTGAATTCTTTGCGTTTGGAAATTTTAGTTTAGTTTTCTCTCACTTGACCGACTAAATGTGAAACGGAGCATTCATGTTCCTCATTATGCAATGAATGAAAGGTGAGGTCTGGTTCAATGTGTAACCTTCAATTTTTATTCCTGTAACTGTAGGGGGCTGCGGACTATGGAGCTTCAGCAGCAGGACATGGTCACTTCAATGCCATCAGCCCTGGAAATAATGCATCTGGTGAGTAATTTTGGTGCTCTTTTTACGAGTCTGTTGGCTCAAGTGATATTTTCATGTACAGGAAAAGTAGTCCGGAGGGGGGGCTTGTTACCCAAGCTATATTGGATGAGATTCTCCTCTAGCCAAGACGCCCTTTGATTTTGCTATGTTGCCTGATCAGCCTCCATGGTCTTGAACCCCTGTCCTGTGGGGGCCTTACCTTCATCAGTTTAGTAACACGCTGAGCTTTTCATAAAAGCCTTACAGATTCTGAGTATTCTGACTCTTCTCGATCTTGGTCCTCTAGCTGAAAGCTGTGTCAACCCAGCTGATGTCTTCCTGTCACTTTTGCCTGTGTCTCTTTCTTTTACTATAAATTGCATTTTGTGACAGTGTTTACTTGGGTTTATTTTTCGTCCATACCAAACATAATACAACAGGAAAAGAGCAAATGAAATTTTCTCTCGCCCGCATCCTATAACTTATGGTTGGCAGTATCCTATATTTGTTCACTTGCTGGTTCTGATTCTAAGCACACGGTACACATCTCACTTCCCCAGTTTCCACTATCCTGTATCCTCAAAATACTAACTTTTACCAAATAACTGTTACACAATACTTGTTTCACTAAACAGTATTCCCCATTCCCTCTTGTCCAGTTTATTTCGAGTGATTAATGGGCGCTCTGGTGTAACAAAAGCAGGCTTTGTTTACCACAGATAAAGGGGATAGTTGTGCAAAAGGATATTTGAGTAAACTTTTGTACTCACGATTTTTACTGAATATTGATCCATGTAATAATGCACCTATATATTTCTTTAAGTTTGAGGTTCATCTCATAGCCATGACTTTTTCAGGTGCCATGTGGTCTCAGTGGCCGTCAGCGGATGCTACCTCTCAGCAGCAACAACAACAACAACAACAGCAGCAGCAGCCCCACCCAACACAGCAGGAGGAGTTCAGCGACATGTTTGGCATGCTGAACCAGCCCTCCGCAGAATTTGCAGATCTCTCTGGAATGTTCACAAACTTCACAGAGTGATCAAGATATAAATGTGGGGTGGTGATGATACTCGTTTCCTTGGAAAATCGTAATAGAAGAAAGGTAGCTGCGGCAACTTGGAACTTTGATGAGCTTGCAGGCAAAAATATTTCTCTCTCACTGTAAAGGAGAATAAAAAAGAAGTAGCGCCATGTTACCGGTGTCAGGAGTTCTCAGGTGATGAGAGGGAAAAGTGTTGCCTTCTGTGGTTTGGAGGACAGATATTCTCAGTTGACAGGAGAGTATTGTTCGAAAAGGCCTTTTAAATGCAGATGACTAATGCCTGATCTGTTATAGTCCATGTACTTTGTTTTCTTGCTCTTATTTGCTTGTTGAAATTTAAGTACATATTCCTGTTTGCTTTAAAGCCTTTAAGTGAAAAAATTGTGTTCTTGTTTACTTGATGTGCTTTTAGCATTTTTTGTACGCACAGCGCAATTGCAAATGATTTAATTATTGTGTTTGTTCATGATCGTATTGTGTCAACTAATGAAACAAGTATATTTTTGAGAGCTCTTGTCTTTTTTTGAAGGTATGACATTTTCGAGGGTGCACTTACAGGACTTTTTTGTATGGGGTTGTTCAAGTTCTTTCAGTGCATCTGAAGTACTTTTCTCCTTCGAGATTTGATCAGCAATAGAATACAGAATTGTCAATGATTTTGAAGTTAATGAATGGTCCTTTTTTGGTTAATTTTGCACAAATTTATATTACTGCAATTTCTTTTTAGATTTTACTCTTCTGAAAGGGAAAGTATTTTTTACAAGCTTGCATCCGACAGATTTTGAATATATGGGCAATTTTCAGTTGTAGTCTCTATTACTTGTTTTTGGTGGGCAGTTCTTGTCTTTTTATTGAAAAACCAAAGAATTGTGATCTCCATTTTTGAAATGGCAAGTCAAATGGGATGTGAGAATCATTTGGGTCGGTCATTACTTGGATGATGTTGAGACATACTTCACACATTAAAATAATATGGCTGTGCGTACCTGTACATACAGTGGATGGCCGGTCTCTCAATCACTTTTACCGCTCACAGATGCTGAACTTGTGCAGTCCGGTCATATTGTAAGGGCTGCATTTACAAGAAATCGAACTTTGTTTCAAGGATTGCAAAGTGAAATTATATTTTGTATTATAAGAACAGAAAATTTGCTTTCCTACTATCTTGTCATTCAGTTTGTATTTTTCAAGTGGCATTTGCAATTAACTTGGGCATATTTTACACGATAGACAGATTTTCAGAAGTGTTGGACGTCAAATTGTTGATTAGTTGCTTGTTAGAAAACTGGGTACAAAGTATTCCTTTCGTTCCCTTTCTCACTTGAAGTTAAATAAATTGCAGTGGTTATTACATACTCATGTTCAACATTGGTCTAGTCAGAATAATGTCTTTGCTATCAGGAATGGTAATTCTTGTAGATTTAATTTTACTGTTTTTCTCCCTTTGTTTTTAAAGTCTTCTGAAAAATGTTCACTTTGTGTTAGTGATGGTCTACCATTTTTAATCAACAGAGTTCTAATGAGTCAATTTTTACCTGTATAGAAACTGATACATGTTTTCTGATCTGGTTAATGTGGAACCATTTACCCTTTGTTAATGGAGTGGGCAACATTTCACAGGGACTTGGGCTCAGCTGTATAAAAAGTATTCTTCTGAGATTAGCCGCTTGATGTAGAATGTTAATTAGGAATTATTTATTTTTAGTTGCACACTTTTTTAAAGATGTCTTGACCGTAGCTCACTATGCACAGAAATTTAGCTAATGAGCTGTTATATCTATGTTCAACGTGTTTATAATGCTAAATAACAGTTTCCCTGCCGTGTACATAGTGTAGTGTGTGGGTTTTAACAGCCTTGAGAGGCACTTTGTGCTCCCCGTGCTGTGACCACCTTGTGCCTTTAGCGTATGATGAGAAGAGAAGTATCAGACAGCACAGCTCAGCAACATGCACTCGTCACTTGACCATCCACCCTTTCGAGGATTACCTGTGTTGAGAGTTGTTCTACTGGTACTGAATAAATTCTGTTGCGATACATGGTTGTTTGAACTGTTTTATGAAATTACCTTTTCAGAAAACAGTCTTGTACTTGCATTAATGGTGCGGTCATGTGAAGATAGATCTTTTAAGTGCAAGGGTAAAATTAGATTTAGATGCTCTAATCTCTGACAGTACTGCTAAGTATTACATAATTCCCTCAACACGTTACAGTGAGATCCTCTCTTTCTCGTTTCATCTTTAAATGGACACCCCAGTCTCAAGTGCGAAAGCTGCTGCTTGCCGCAGGTCAACCAGGCTTCCATAGAGTTTTGGGTCTCCCTTCCTGGGGTTGAGCCAATATTTCCTTCTAAGTGCCTCGAGTATTGGGCAGGCCTGTAGTAAATGGTTTCCTATTTGGCTGCTGGTTCCGCTTTGACACTGCTAGTGAAGTCAGTCAATTTCATGCAAGGTCTTCAGTGTGAGATTAGCTTGTTTGAATTTTATGATTTTATAGTTACCTTTGTGGTACTGGTGATATATAAGAATATAGATAGACTTTTGAAAACTAGGATGTTTATTTCTTCACAGCTTTCCTTTAGTGTTTTAGTCTAATGAATCAAAACGTCACCGCTTGTTATAAGTTTCAAAGCTGCTAATTAATTGATTGCTTAACAGCTGCTACAACGACTTGTTCTTCCCAAAATAGTTACGTATTTACAATGTGTAAACAGTAAAGGGAAAATAAGGAAGCTCAGTTTGCATGACCGTGATGAGATTGACAAACATTTGGAATTTTTTTCTTTTTGGATACAAATAGCTGACAGTTTTCTTTGTTAATTTCTAGGTGTCAAGTATTAATGGTACTGAATAATTCCATCATGGTACATAGTTTACTTGAACTGTGGTTTCTGTGTATAAAATTAGCTTTTCAAAGAACTTACATCCTGTTAATGGTACTGCCATGTGAAGATGTTTCTTTCAAGTGATAGAGAAAAATTAGATTCAGGTGCTCTAATCTTTGATAGTATAGCTAAATTGTATACTTTGGTTCGACCTCTTGTCGAAGTACCTGGGTTGGTCCGAAGTTGGTGCAGGTGGCATGGTAAGTGAACGTTTGAACTTTTTGGTCCCTGGATAAGTGGAAGTGAATGCCTAACGGTTTTTGCATAGACAAAGGGTTTCTGGTGTGTGGAAATGATTTGGCATCTAACAGTGGAAGAAATTTAGGGCTGTGAAGGCTAGCTACGCTGGTCAAATTTTATTTATCCATCTTTAAGATTGAAGAGAGATCTTAGAGGATAAAGGAAATTTCCATTAAAAATGGTTTATGGCTGTCCTATTGGCAAGGGATGCTTTCCCAGTTGCAAAATGGGCCATTAACAGAAAACTCTTTTAAAACATTTTACTTTGAGTTGGCAGGGAAAGTTGAAGACGTAGGAGGAAGAAGAAGACTCAAACTTGTGATTACCCTCTCCTGTGGTGGCTGCTTATCACAGCTTCTCTTTTGTAGGGTTCTCTCAATCTTGTCCTGCAGTCCTATCTTTTTAAAAATCTTTTTTAGCAAGAAGTTGTTCTATTTTCGTAGATGGCCTGATGGTTATGATGTTTGTAATTGTTAATATTATATTTGTGCTCTACGAGCAGTATGTTCTGTATTTGAATTGGTAACATTTTGTTGGTTCTGTTAACTCTTATGTGTCTTGTATCAGTTCTTGTGACTGATACTCAGCACTCTACTGTGTTGTGTGGTACAGAACAAGTTGCTGGTAATTAGAGACATGGTTTTTGTTGTACAGTTTTTTTATCACGATTGCTTAATTTGCTGGAAAATTCCTATGATTTGATAATTTCTTTCTCTTGGAGGAAAGGAACAGCGAAGACGAATCTGTCTGGCTATTCAGTTTCTACAATAGCACCCACAATTTGAATGGGGACAGTGCAGAGATTTGCTATTTTGAACAGCCTGGGACAGTACTTAAAATATTACTTAAGGGAGTTGATTTATTTTTTTGATACCTTGAATACTTTTTTTTTGGTGTGGTGTTTTTTTGTGTTTTTTTAAAGTTATTATGAATGTGGGAAAAACGATTTTTTTTTGTTCCCTTCAAAACTTTGACTTTGTTAGCTGCCTGAAGGAATATGAGGAAAATGAGCCTCATTCTCATCTTGTGACGAACATCAAGAGGTCAAACACTGGAAATTTCAGTTTTACTCTTCCTGCCAAATGATAAATAGTATATTCTGGCAGTAGGTTTTCACACGATCAATTTGTTTCGAGGCGACTGCCACTCTGAGACATTCCTGTAGGTTTTCTCCCTCTGTCACAGACGAGAGAGATTCAGCTTTGTGGATTATCTTTAACTTGGTGCTATGGCAGTGCTCTTGTTTTGTTTTGGTAAGAGTTTTACGGCGCTTGCAACTGTGTAAGGTCACACAAACGCTCTGAAAATTATCTCTGGCACAGAAGGTTCATAGAGCTTTTGATGTTGTGCCGAGCTCATGGTAGGATGTTGGTTTTTGTTTTCAACCTGATATGTTTACAAAAATGCCTAGATGAATGGTCGGTAAAAGGTTTTTTTCTCTTCGGGTTTTTGTTGCAGGAACTGTACTGTATGTCTCAAATTGAGAATATTTATATCTGTTCTTGTTTTCTGCTCTCTGTAGTTAATTAAATTGTACTGAACAGCATTTTTTTTCCAATATCATTTACTTTGTACTGGACTATGGTTGACTTTTTTGTATAAATCTTGTGTGCTCGTAAGTTGTCTGGTCAGTATGTTTGTATGTCTCAGCGTATTATTGTTTTCATTAAAGTGCCATTGTCGAAAGAAAAAAGTTTTCAACCTCCCCCTTCATTGTGACTGTCTCTCTTTTTTTTCATTCTCTGTTTTTGTATATATTTTTTTTCTTTCTTACTTTTTCCCTCCTCATATCCCTCAATTCTTTTTTCTTCTAACCCCTTCTTTGACATTTCTCCGTCTATACCTTGTCATCTGATTTATTGTATTACTTCTTCCTTTTTTCCTTTTGCCACACACACTCATACAAAGATGCCTGTAATGAACCCATCAAGATACATAGGCATTGACCTTTGTCTTCTTTTTAGAACTTTGTACTGATTGTCTTTTAAAAAAAGGACCCATTCCAACTCGGTTGTCTTTTGACCAATTTCAATAAAAATTCAAATGAATAGAATTCAACCAGGGAGAGATTACACTTGTCAGTATGAAAAAATTAAACCAACATCATCATGTTAGAAAAATATTAAGTTTTAAAAATGTCAACCGAAATTGAGTGAAACACAAAACTTTGGAACTTATATATATATATAAATATCAACCATATTGTTCCATTTCAAATAGTCACTATTTGTGCTGTGGAGAACAAATTTTTACAAACTAAATATTGCCAAACAAACCCAGGGAGGTAATGGCTATTTAATCCCTTCATGACAAAGGCCCAGTTTGTGCTGCACCCGGCATGGTTTTGATCCCCAAGGACACATAATGGTGCTAAATTAAGTGGTCATTTTCCTATTTTTAGACCTGGTGTTTTCAAATACTACTAACTATATATATAAGGAAAAGATTTCTTTGTACGAAAAAAATATTTCCCGAATGCGAATCTGCAATTTAATTTTACAAGATGCTTCTGATAGAAGCAGTATGCAGAATGATGAACATAGTCCTCGCACTGCACATGGCGTGACGCAAGCACTGTACATTTACAGCAGCATCTTAGCTCATTCACCGAGTGAGAAAAAATGATGACTGGCATACATCATATTGGTCACAAAGGGGTTAAATCTCCAGGTGTTGACCATGTCTCTCCCTACAAGCTTCAACACTGAGATTAATAACATTGTGGTATTATTCTGGGTCCATTCTTGCATGGCATGTTCAACATTGAGTTTGAATAATTTGTTTTTTTTGGTAGGTTGTTTGCGTAAAGAAGTAGAGGAAAATGACGATAGTAAGGATTAGGAAAGAAAAAGCAGCAGTTCTCCTGTAGTTCCGGCACAGTTATGAGCATAGCCCATTTACAATTCTATTGTGCTTAAGAATTCCCTTTGGGAATGGCCTAAAGACACTTCAGTCAGTAGCACCGCCCTGGGGGTTTTCCCCACTCTATGTGATGGCACCATTGTTCTCCATGTAGAAGGACACAGTTCAAAGACCGTCTTGTCCATTACTTCTTCTGGGATCTGTCGGGCAGAAGGAAATCTGTTGCAAAATTGTTTGCGTAATTACTAGAACTTTTAACTTTTCTTTTTTGTAGTCTCCTTACAACTAATCTTAATTCCCACTTATGCTCATGCTAATACGTACAGTTCGACACGTGTAGGTCAAACACAGAAGACTTGAAATCACCCATCCGGCGAACTGTGCTTGTAGTCCCGTTTTTTTTGCTTCTTTAACTTTGTAAGATATCCTTTTAACTACGGATCCTTCGAACTGCTGAGGCCGGCCCAGAGGAATTCTAGCTACCCGTGTTACACTGTATATTCACACACACAAACAAATGCTTGTACACACTCTGATAAATGCTTGCACACGCGTGCACGCACACACACACACACACACACACACGCACACACACACTCGAATCTCTAATCTACACTGAGGTCATTCTATTGTTTTTGTCATACAACTGTGACTTGCTAATAAATATGGCAAATGGTGGTGGAGAGGGGGGGGGGTGCTCTTTAAAGTTCAAAGGCAAAATTTTATAGCTTTGTGTTTGCAACACTACATCATGTTCACACCTGCCGTTAGAGGATATAGCCAAATTTAACCTCGTTAATGCATTGTATGTCCATTTTATTTACCTGTTCTTACAAAATATGTACTGTACTTGTATCTCTGATATGGTGTCAATGAGTATTTGTAAAGATTGTGGGTCTACTGTCAGAATCTCTGTTACTCTGTAGCATCTTTCCCGCCTATTACAGGGGAACACTTTACTGTGAACTTGGTCAGTATGAAGAAGTTTTGGGTTCAAATCCATGAGAGTCCATATCTTACTCAGTCTGGTTGTCTACTGAAAAAGTTGTCCTCTCTGCTGGGTGTTATGACAGAGGATACTGTGGTGTCCGTTTTGAGATGTGTTGCTTTAAGTCTTGTTATATAGTATCTTTCCCTCTCTGTAACAAAAGTAAAGAATGAATCCAACTTCTACTTCTGGTTGTGACATGTTATGATCACTTTTGGACTTAGGGTTCTAACTCTGGAAAATGCACATTTGAGACAAGTCCCTGCAGTGTTCAGGTTGCGAAATATGGACCACAGGGTTAACTGCTGGTATTTTCCTGACAATAATAAAACATAATATTGTTGTACATACACACACACACAAATATATATATATATATATATATATATATATATATATATATATATATATATATATATATATATATATATATATATATATATATATATATATATAAAATTGTCAAGCCTTTATGTTGAGTGAATGACATTTCATCGATTGTTGTGATTTAATCTGTGTCCAGTGTACAAATTCATCAGCGTCGTTTGCAGTCGTTTAGTGGATGGTTTGTTGTTGGTAGTGTCTTTGACTGTCATGGAAATAAATTAATGGGATATTTCTTGGTACTCTGAAGTGTTCTGACCCTTATTATTATTACCAGGAGTGTTCATCAAGAATGGTCTCTAGTTGAAAGTCCACTTGCGGCTTGCCCTCCTATACTAATTTTATGTGCCTGACATCCAATGTCTTTTTCTTTAAGGGCTATGATCCTCCCAATGACGGTGGGTGGTTGATGGGTACTCTGGTGGGGTTTGCTTCTTCTTTCCTATCGAACGTCTATCATCTTTATCTCTCCTCCTTTTTCGTGTTTGTTACTCTCTTGTAACACCTCTAATCTTCGGCCCTTATATGACCTTATTGTGTTGCAAGTGCCGTAAAACGAAATACTATTACGGTCATTCTCGTCAGTGGTGTGTGTAGGACTCGTCTTAGATAGGGACATTCCTAGTTCGCTGGAACGTGACTTGATTGGACTGGCATCTGTGATGTGATTGTTTGGGCTCTTCGTCATTGTCCAGAAAACATGTATGTGATTCCTGCGTGGAAAAGTTGCTATGTATATGGAGCACCTCCGTCTATCTGTAGGAAAGCTGCATCCCACGCAGGTAGAGTGGGTGGTTGGTGGGTGCTCTGGTGTGGTTTGCTCCTTGTTTCTAATCAAACATATATCGTCCTTATCTCCCGCCCTCCTTTTTTTTATCTGTTACTCTCTTGCAACACCTTTAATCTTCGGCACTTACGTGACCATATTGTGTTACAAGTGCCGTAAAACTTACTAAAGCCAAAACCTCAGGTGGGGTACAAGTACCACGTCTCATTTAATGATTTAAATGGTGGTGTAAAACACTTACGCTTAATTAATGAGACTTTAGTTGATTTAATTTCTTTCCTCGTCAGGTCTTCCCTGTTCTTCTCACTCTTAAAAAAAAAAAAAAACCAGGGTTGTGCCACTAACTGAAGTGTCTATAGGCCATTCCCAATGGGGGGACATTTCTCATTCTAGTGCACAGTAGAATTGTAAATGGGCAGATCTAACAATGCCATGCTCATGACTGTGCCTGAACTACAACAGGGAACTGCTGCTTTTTCTTTCCTAATCTTTACTATCGTTATTTTCCTCTACTTCTTTTTTGTATGTTTGTCACACTCTTGTGACCCGTTATTTCCGGGGTGCCCTGATAGTCGAAGCAGACTTTGTGCTGTTGAAGCTAGAGAGGTAAGCAGAGTAAGTCTGATTCCCTCTGTAAGGACTTCTCTGTTGACATCCACCCTTTGGTGCTCATATGACCTTATGCAGTTGCGAGTGCCGTAAAACCTCTACTTAAAAAAAAAACACTCTAAAAAGTGGGTGGTTGGCGGGTGCTCTTGTGTGGTTTGCTCCTTCTTGGTTTGCTCCTTCGTGCCTATCAAACAAAATCTATGTGGGTGGTTGGCGGGTGCTCTGGTGTGGTTTGCTCCTTCGTTCCTCTTAAACATCTATCGTCCTTATCTCTCCTCCTTTTTTACGTTTGTTGTTACACTCTTGTAACACCTCTAATCTTCGGCATTTATATGACCTTATTGTGTTGCAAGTGCCGTAAAACTCTTTACTAAACTAAAACTAAAATCTATCATCCTTATCTCTCCTCCTTTTTTGTGTTTGTTATATTCTCTTCTTGTAATACCTCTAATCTCCGGCACCTATGTCACCTAATTTTGCCGCAAGTGCAGTGAAACTCTTACTAGCTCTAAATCTAAAACTTAAAACAAAAGCAAACGTGTCTGCTGCTACTCAACGACCGCTGATCTAAATTGTGTCGGTGGGGGTGTAAAAAGTCCTACAGTTACTAGATCTATTTAAAATGATGAAAACGACCACTGTTGTAGTGATGTTCTTCTCGGATCTCCC